TTTTTGTCTGTATCTTTATTTTCTTCAACTGCTGCTACCACCATCAATGGTTTGTATAGAAGAAGGAGAAGAACCAATATCACTGCTACGCCTAAGGATTTGTTAGCCATTGTATTATTAATAAGTGTCTTAATGAGAGTAAATGTATGTGAAAGGTTTCGAAATGCATGTAATATGGATATTTGTCTAGAATTAGTGTATTGTGGAAAATTAATGGTTGACTTGTTCTAAAGGTCTATTTATGTATTGTGAAATGGGAGGTTCTTAGTAAAACAAAATTAAAATAAATAGATTAGTAGCTATGAATTTAGTCTTTTTTTTTAAATTAAAAAAAAAAACCTTTTTCATTTCTTTAGATTAAAATTCAAATTTTTAGTCTCTGCAATCAATTTTAAATAAAAATATTCTTTTACCAAACATTTAACATGTTTAAAATATTATAAAAGATTCTTTTATAAAAATTTAATTTTTTTTTGACATATAACAATACGTAAGAAATACGCGATAATAGCAACGAAGCATTGGATTTGAAAATAAAATTTTTGGAGTTGAAGGATATTTTTTATAATTTAGAAATTAAAAAGAAATTTAAAAGCGTGTTTTTTTGAAAAATGTTCAAAAAATATATGTTGATTTAATATAGAAAACTCCTACAATTCGGTTAAAGTTTTATTAATGATGAGAAGACTTAATCATCAGTCTTAAATCATAAAGCATTGAATATACAGTACACCCGCAACACTTTCATTGGTTGTAATAGTCATTATAGTGGACTATTCAGTATCAATAATCCACATGATGACAGGAGCTCCTGGAATCTCATGTACATTGGAATCTTTATGAGATTAAAGTTACACGATCGAGACTTGAAGCTATGTGAAGGAGGGAGTCTGTTAGTGTTCAATGATTCCTCCACTCTCTCATGTGGAACTATCGAACTACTAGTCTATTTCGGGGAAGGGAAGGTCAAAAGAACCATGAATATGCATTTCATTGTGATCCCTTGTGAAAATGTCTACAATGACATTCTTTTAAGGTCGTTCCTCGCGACATTAGAAAAAGCGGTCTCTCCAATCCATACTAAAGAACCCCCTCTGTATGTGGCTTTACATCTAAGAGGAGAAGGAATAAGATTTGTCCAGTTGTCATTACGATCAACCTCAACATGCATGAAGATGAAACACTACGAAATACCGAACTTGACTCACCGGCAAAATTAAAAGTGATAACCTTAAGGTCGGCTGGGATGACAAGTTTGAGACCATCCAGCTTAACAATAATCTAGCACAGTCGATCTGTATATAGGTTGAGTTACCGTTCATGGTGAAGAAAGGGGTCATTGAGTGCCTTAAAGCTAATGTAATCTTATTTGCAATTTCTCCAGACAAGATTCTCAACATAACCCTAGTGTGGCTTGCTACCAATTGAAAATTGACCCCTCTATCCGCTATGTGGCTTATTGAAGGAGGAAAAAATCTCTTGAGAAGGTCGAAGCAACCAAGAAAAGAGTCAAAGGCCTATTCGATGCTAACTTTATCTCTGAAGTAAAATAGATTGAATGGTTGTCCAATGTTGTGATGGTCAAGAAAACTCTAGGAAAGTGAAAATTGTGTACTGTCGGCTACACCGATCTCAACCGAGTCTACCCCTAAATATTCCCACCCACTCTCGAACATAGACAAGCTAGTAAACAATTCAGCCGACTACAAGCTATTGTTGCTAATGTATGTGTACCCTTGCAATAATAAAATACCTATGTACAAGGCAGACATTGGCAAGACAACCCTGATGAATGATGGGGTCAATTATCGATAAAATGTTATTTTCTTTGGCTTGAAAAATGCAAAGACAACGTACTAGAGAATGATGAATAAAATCTTCATATAAGAGATAGTCTACATGGATGATATGATAGTTAAGTCTGGAAATGAGAAGCTTGTTAGACATGTGACTACACGTACAAGAGGGAGAATGAATTATGGGTTTTAGAAAAATGATAGTTTGAAAACACTTCTTTATCATTATCAAAGTTTGAAAATATTTTTGATAAAAACATTTGAAAGATTGCAGCGAAAAGTAAATATGTGGTAAGTAAAGAGTTAAAGTTAAGAGAAATGACACTAGGAATTATAGAGGTTCGGTCGAAAGGAAATGACCTAATCCTCTCCCCAATATTTTATATTAAGAGTATCCAATAATGCTTTAAGAGCTTTTAGTAGGTTAAACTCTCTAACCCCATTATAGAAGAAAAAACAAAGTTTCAGGCTAACTTCCAACCAAACAACGAAAACAACAGAGAGAAGTAGTTAGACTTATTTCCAAACACACACTTGCAGAAAGAAGAGGTTAGTCTTCCTATCAAACATCGAATTAAAGCAAATAGTCTTCCTTCCAAACAACAAATTGAAGTGGTTAGTCTTCCTTTAAAAAAAAAGATTAAGGTAGTTAGTCTTCTTTCCAAACAACAACTTGAAGTGGTTAGTCCCCAAGGTAAATCAAAATTTTCTACGGGCTTATTTTGAACTAAGATGCACTACTACAAAATATACATTTTGTAACATCTTCTTATTTTGGCCATTTAATCAATCGAATTAATAACTCATATTTAGGTGTCTTGATTATTTATTTATTTAAACAAATTTCACTATGGTCCAACCTAACAATTATGGTGATAGGTTAGGAATGACATGCTTTGAATCCTATCACCAACATTTTTCTATTTTTTCATTACAAAAAAGGGCATGTCCCTTTAATTTTTATATTTATATTAAAATTAATATACTTTTCACCACAATCATGTTTACCAACCATGGTGAAATGTGACATTCATTTTTACAATGTCGTGGCCGCTTTTGTGAGTAATATCTCAAGGACAATTTAGTTTTCACAGACAATCACATTTTATACAATCTCAGGGATGCTTTGTGTGCAATATCATCACTCATTTTTACTATCTTGAAAAGTTTGACATTAAAAATCAATGTTAAGGTTCAAGTATATCGTTTACATGATAAAGTGAAAATTAACATTGATCTTTAAACCAAGTTTTTCAATATACTGTATTAACTTTTGAAGAATGGAATATGAAGTTTGATGGCGAAATAAGTTAGATTTAGTAAAAAGATGAATGACGCATTTGTTGAGCTTTAATAGACAAATCCCTATATCATTTCACCACAGTTAGGCAGCGAAACCCTAATAACACGTATAAGACACCACTACGATTTTTTTTCAATCATGGCGAAAAGTGTTTATCTTTAATTAAAACATAACAAGTCTTAGTTTATTTCCTTTATAATACAACAGTGCCCTAGCGAATACCCTTTAGAACAAAAGAAGGTGAACTTCATCATCAGGTTCAAATCAAGGAAGGGATGACGAAACTTGCAAGAAAGGTACACAAAAATCATTTTTTTTTGCCTATTCTTATTCTTCACAGTTACTATACGTTGAGTTTTAATGTTTTTATTTTTTATTTTTATTGCGATTGTTGTTTAATGTGTCACCCTTCTTCTTCTTCATCTTCATCTTTTTCTTCTTTTTCTTCTTCTTCACCCGAAAACCATTACTATATTTTGTTGAGATAATAATAGATTTTTGTTGTTGTTTAATGTTATATATTTTTGTGAACGAGTGACATTGATAATGTTTTTATGTTGTTGAGAATGTTATATATTATTGTTGTAGTTGTTTCTTTGTTATGGTGTTGTTGTATTGAGATTATTATTGTGTTGTTGACAATGGTGTTGTTGCAGTTGTTTTTTTTGTTATTGTGTTGTTGTATTGTTGTATTATTGTTATTGTATTGTTGACAATGTTGTAGTTATTCCCTTTGCTTGGCCATCTCTTTCGAAGCAGTTAGTGTCGTCCTCATATGAGATTCTACTTAGAGTCTAGTGTATTTTATATCCAAAATATTAGTCGAGCCAAAAATATGCCACTAGAAGATAGAGAATGCATCATTGACATTGGTGATCGCATCTCGGAAATTGTGACGTTGCTTATATGCTTTTGAAGCAATTTCTCTAATTGAGTGATTGATGAAATGGTCTACTGAAATGTTTGATTTCGACATCTTTTTCGAGTTTAGAAAAATGTCAAAAGCCTAAGTGTTCGCAAACTTCATATTTTGAATTACTTCAAGTGTGCCTGAATTAGATTATATCCTAATCGTATTTATCGACATATCATCAAATAATTAAAAGAGTCGGTTGATCTCTGAAAAATGAAGTCGGATTAATAATAAAAGTATCTACGTTTTAATTTAATTTTCTTTCTTTTCTTTTACTTTTGAGACATATCCAACTCTTAATTATATATATTTTTTTGTTATAATATAGATTTCTTAAAGAATCATGTAAAATAAATATAGATGTGTTGATAAATAAATTATTAGTGCACTAACGAATATAAATAGAGTTTTAAAAGCCATAACAAAAAAACAATGAATCTTCTAGCTTTATATTTAAAGATAGTATATAAACAAACAAAAATTGTCACTTAAAAAAAAGTATTTTTAATAAACGACCAAATTTAAAGAAACTATTCATCAAGACAATTAAAAACAAGTAAAAAAATTTGGTATTCATAATTTTAAGTTGAATACCAACATAAATTATTTTAAAATTTTAATTTATCTTAAAATAAAATAAATAATATTCTACTAAATTACTTTATTTGATTGATTGAGAATATAAGTATTCAAATAAATTCGAAATGTTATCTTAAAAATAACCCTTTAAATAGAAAGAGTTTCTTTTTAATAATTTAAGGAAAATAGATTTTAATGTTCAATATTGGTTAAAAATAAAAACAATTATTATAAAATAAAAATAGTCTAAAGTTCAAAGCTTTGACCGTTGAAAAGGTCAGATTCATCAAAGAAAAGTGTAAACCTTGACTCCTCTTTGAGAATGAGACGATAATTTATCTGAATAATGATTATGATGATGAATTCTCAAATAAAATCTGTGTGAGGAAATCAAAATCACCCGACAGACATGGTGTTCAACACTCCTGTTGTTGTTCGAGTCGCACGTTTTTCTGCTCACGCATGGCAACGTTTGTCGTGCATTGATGATCCTATAAACAGTGATCAGCTTTTGGATCTTCTATGCTGTTTTCCTCTTCATCAATTTGGTCGTTTTGCTCTTTGTTTATGTTCCTTCTTTTGTATCCCTCAACCCCATTCTTTTTACTCTTCTTATCTCATCTCTGATTCTGATGATTCTGATGATTCTGCTTCTGGTTCTTCGTCTTCTACCCTACATCTTGAACATGACTACTATTACCACTCCCATTCTGATTGTAAGTTTTTCTCTTTTTTTTAATGGGTTTTTGTTGTTTGATTTAAAGTTTTATTCTTTATATGAATTGGATTTGTTGCTTGATGGTTTTTGGGTTAGGAGTTGTTTGTGATTTGTTTTATCTTAAACCTCCGGATTCAGGAGTAGGTCCTGTGGTATGATTCAGGAGTATTAGTAGTTGCTTGTAAGACTCTAACTGTAACCCTAATTATTAGACAAAAATCAAGGGAATTATAGTTGTTTCATAGTCGTAGAGGTAGACATCGTTGATCGAACTGGGTTAATAAAGATCTATCAATTGTGTTTATTGACTTTTACTTTTGTTTCACTTTAGTATTCTATACTGGTTGTTGTTCTAACAATTGATATCAGAGTTATGGTTAGGTTCAATGGGGAAGCGGAAGTGAGATCCTAGTATGTATCAAGGTTAATGATGTGGGTGACTCACACTTGTGAGTGAGATTATTGGAATTCAAGTGTGAGTGGTTAAGTTGCACATTGAAATAGAAATCCAGGAAATGTTGGGTAAATAAGAGAGCTGACTCATACCTGTATTGGATAAATATGTGATTTAAAGGATTCTTGGATCCTAAACATTTAGTTTAGTATATTGACACTCCTGGTTGTGCTCCGTAGACTCCCTAACACTTTCAAATGCGGGTTCTCTCAAAGGATTCCTAGCAAGCGGGAAAAGGTTTTGTTTGTTGTTAATCTCTGGTTGGAAAAACTATTAACTTAACTCAACGCACTATATTGAGGGGTGGGTTTAGTTTCACATTGCCTATAGATATGACCTAAGTAGTGCTTAAGGAGCTTGATAAAACTGATTTGAAAGACTTTAGCACTGTCTTATATTTTAGCTTAGATATGCCATATCTTCGTCGGATGTGACCTATGCCTATAAAAGATTTTAATTTCCAGTTTTTGAAGGAGGAATTTTGTGAGTCGTATTTCTCACGTCTTATATTTTAGCGCATGTTTGGTAACCCGTTTGGAGGGCATTTCTCACGTCCATATGTAAAGAAAACGTGGAAATGTAAGAAGCTCCAATTTGGAGAATTGGCCAGACACGCGCCTTTTAGCCTCTTGACACAGAAACAAAGGCTTAGTATACAGCGGTTTCGATCACAACCCTGAACACAGTCTGTAAAAATCCTGTAGAATTGTGATGCTTGAGTGAGTCATTGGTGTGAAAATACTCTTAGCTCAAATAATACATGCCAACTCTGTTATTGATTCTGTTCTTATCTGTGAGTGACCTTGTGCATTCTCAATTTTAGTTTAACACAATGGTCACAATTTCAATGATATTTTTGTTAATCTCTGTTATTATGCATGCATCATGAACATGATACATTATGTTTTACTGTGAAATATTGTTAGACTCTTTATGACTGTATTGATGCCCTTTTGATAGGAATACTTATCCTCTTGAAGTCAAGTAGAAGCAGAAAAGAGATGTTAGATTGCCTCCATTGTAAAAAAGCAACTTTTACTCTTTGATTATTGAAGCTGATAAATTCATCTCTTTACATTATATATCCTTGTAAAGAGTGATTTTTGAATATGTTCATATAATTTTAAAATGCACACTATAAGGGGTGAGTGGTGTTATAAATTACTTTTATTCAGAAACAAATTGAATAGCACCTTCATCACATGTTTATGAAAGTTTTTTTTTTATTCTTACTAGCGTCCACACGGATCCGTCTGACCGTTTTTTAATGCGCACACGTATGAAAATACAAACTGTGTTTTACTTTTAATTTTAATATTTGTCTGAAAAAATATTTAATATATATAAACTAAAAATAAGGTTGATTTTAGATTGTGTTTTCAATGTTCTCTATCTTCCTGCACTTTCTTCTGGTTATATTCACATGATTGAGTGTTGTATAGAATGAATATTTATTTAAAAATCAAAAGGACATCATAATTTAAATAATGTTAAACGTAATTAACATTCATTATCTTTATTTTGAGTTTATTTTATCCTATCTATGTAGTAGTTATATCCTAACTACTTAGCTATTATTTAAAGCATTTTTTAATGTATTTTTAATATTTTTTTAGTCACTACGTGAAATTATTTAAATGTTCATAGTTTTTGGAGATGAGTTTTCAGACGCATCAAATTTTGAATGAACATTGAAATACATTTTGAATGAACATTGAAATATTTTGGAGATGCATTTCCGTAATAATTTAAAACATTCAATATTTTCTATTTAGAAGTTATTATATATTTGAATTGGACCGGAGATGCATTTTCGTGAATATTTCAGAAATACATCTATGTGATGTATCAGAATTTGATCTTTCATGTTATATTTTGTCTATTTGTATTCAAATGAAGATTTATATTATACCATTCAATCGGAAAAAAAATTTAAGTACATAATTTCAAATGGTCAAAAAACGTCATAAATAAATAAAATACCAATAAATGTCGAAAATGCTATGCAATTGAGATCAATATAGTAGTAAAACCGTCAAAATAAAATACAGATCATAATACTACTACTATATGCTAAGACACTATTGTGTGTCAGACTACCTCTCCTCTGCCTCCTCTGCATCGCCTACCTCCTTGACCATCAATCTTCTCTGTCCTCCGTCGATGTCTCCGGTACAACAATGTCCATGTGTCTCCATCATGATGGCATCTAAGACCTACCTTACATCAGACCCATCAGGGAAGATACATGTGTTAATGTCTGTCTACGCAATCTCCATTATGCGACGACACCTAGGCAAGACATTCTCAGCATGATCTAGTTGTGTCTGCTCCTCCTCTAGTACCTCATGATGAGTTGGTCTCAACCGATCTCATGGAGCAACGTGCACCATGTACGAATTGTTAGAACAAGATTTGTTAATGATATATATCCCTTGGGTTTTGATGATAATAAAGTATTGAAAGAGCAATGGTGTTATATAATGTGTGTTCCAAGTATGTAGGTTCTAAAGTTTAAAAAGAATGCATTCAGAGTCTTATATAATGACACATTTGAGAGGAGCTAAGTTACTAGCTGTCGCAACTGCGAAAAACACCCGGCAGAAAATAGAAGAGTAGCCCACCTTTCGTTATTTATCCCAAAGAGAGGGAAAGGAAACGATCGGAAAAAACCTGACGAAAAAGGGAAAAGACAAGGTCATCACAACCAAGTCCTGGATTCGGGAGTCGGATACGCAAGGGGAAGGTATTAGCACCCCTCACGTCCGTCGTACTCGACGGGATCCACGCTTGTTGTCTATCTAATGGTGTGTTTAAACTATCTACGCTACAGGCTTGCGACACAAAAAGAAAAGAAAAGAGACTCGGCAGAGCATCGCCGCTCTGTGCCTACGTATTCCCTTGTGCAATGGGAAAGTCAGAGTCAACGTAGTTCGGCTAACTACGGAAGAAAGGGGGGGAAAGTTGCTCGCCAAGACATCGCGTCTTGTGCCTACGTACTTTCATCTGGTATGAAAGATCAGAGCAAACATAGTTCGGGCTGACACGAAACCACAGTTTGATTAAGTGTTTTAACCGAGTAGGGTTAAATATTCGTTCTAGCAGTTAGGAACAAAGTCTATTTGCAGTAGAACCGAAGCTTAACAACACTCTTTTCTGAAAAAAGGAAGTTTGATTAATCCCGAAGGAAAAAGGTTTGAATTTTGTTTTGTGTTTTTTAGTGAAGTGAATTAATTCGGTTTGTGATTCACGTTGCACTAAAGACTATGACATGGAGGCGAATGCGTCGTGTATCGCCCCCAAACGGGACGTACACCAAACACTTTAGATAAGCGAGAGGAGACCCCTCACTCATCATTCCCCATGTAGCTTAAGGCTCGTAGCGCACAACGTTTATCGCCTTTATTAGATGAGTTAGAATTGTTTTGAGATGAGAAAGAGAGACGCACGGAAGGTCTAAGGGAAACTCGGCCCTAACGTTGTCATGCAAAGTGACCCTAAAGTTTGGATGAAAAGGGGAAACATCTACCGTAATGTTAGCATGCTTGGATTGAACGCCTAGTGTTTCTCCTACTCCCATCCTAAACTGAGGGACTAGGAACCCTATGGGGATCATGGCAACGAAAGCACAAGAAGAACAAAGGAAGGATCAATCACAAGTAGAAGATGCAAACATGAAGAAAACATGCAAAGAGGGAGAAACAAAGTATGGGGCAGCCGCCGCCACAAGCACATCTCAACCCCTTTTGTGCAAACAAAGATGCAAAACACAAGATGAAATGCACATGCAAAGATGCAAGCAAACATGAACATGCAAATGCAAGAAGAAAATGAGCGAATGAGATGTAATGGGAGAAGACAATCCTCTACAACCGTCGATCATCAATCATTGAAGAAAATGGGAGGAAAAGAAGTGTGGGGCAGCAACCGCCACAAACACATCTCGACCATAGCTCTTTGCTCAAGCAAACAAGGATGAACATCACATTGAACAACATATACAAATATGCACTCAAGTGGAAATCGAACAAAACGAGTCGACAAAATCATGATCAAACGATCAAGAACAACGACATATATACCAAACATCACACTCCTAATGCATCACACTGATCTATGATGTTTCGAAGTGGAACTGTATGCGAAAACACCTTGAAAAACAACAAAACAGGCCCACTGTTACAGTGTTAATCGGTCAACCCCTGGGGTTAATCGGTTAACACCTTAAAAAGTTTGGGAAATATGGAATTTTGAACAGGTTAATCGGTTAACCATATGCTTAACCGATTAACACTGTTAACGTTTGAAAAATTTGAATGTTTGAAATGGTTAATCGGTTAACCATATGCGTTAACCGATTAACACTGTAACAGAGGCCAAAAACAGCAGCAGAAAAACACTTTCAGCACAAAATCAATTAATCAAATGATCCAAAAGATCAGCTTATCAAATAAGCACGAAATTACACCTGCAAACAGAAAACCAATAGACATGCAAACATGTCTACACAACACAATCACAATTCAAATCCACCAAAATTCAATCGAATATGAAAATCATCATGAAA